TATATATATATATATATATATATATATATATATATATATATATACATATATACATACACACACACACACACACATATATATATATATATATATATATAATCACGTTTATAAACAAGCAGTTAAAATCATCCACTAAAAAGTAAAGAATTAAAACTGAAATGCAAGTAAACAATAAAGTCTCATGCGCTGTCGAGGTATTTGTTGCATATTGCGAATATCCATTCCCAAAAGTACTTACCCGCTAAATAGTTCAGTGGACGATCCGAGAGTAGGTATTTGATTTTTGTCGCGATTTAATTGCTCGCGCAGTGTCACCGCAGTCTCATTCGTTTTCAGCAAAGAACCAGTTGAGCTGCTAGGCTTTAGTCGTACCTTTGAGCTAGTTAACAATTTATCATTATTGTCCACTTTAAAAAACGAGGTGGATGTCTCACCTCCCGTATCGTATTTAATTGAGCGCACGGCTATTTCGATATTTGAACCTGAGCCGTTGAATGATACATTCGGACTGTTAACGTTATATAGCAGCGAGCTTGCTGACTGCGGTCTGGGGAGGGGTTTGGGCGTGGGTAAAGAATTTATGCTAGTACTTCCCAGTTTAGTTAATGAGTAAGGTTGGGCCGATTTCTTTACATCGTGCGGTGGTCTGGGTGGGGGCTTATCCTCTGCCGGCTTATTGTCTTTGGGCTGTTTCGGGGGAAGGGGTGGTGGTCCAAGTTCTTCCTCTACATTAGGGTCCGCTATGACATAATTATAAAGGACCGACATACTGCGTGCGATCCAGTACCGAAGGTAAAAGCTAAGTGCTTATACCGAGTGGCGTTTGTTGTTTACTGGGGGTTTCTCATGCGTATGTTTTTGTAGTCCAAGGAAAATATCGCGATTGCAAATAAAAATAGACAGTTAAGAAGTTGTTTGATGCCCTTGTGCGTTTCATACCAGAGTGGATATATATATATTATAATAAACGTGAGCGTGCTTTAATACTTTTTGATATTGTTACTGGGTAAATACCTGAAGAAACTTGAAGGCCTGTGAAGCCGATATCAAATATCAAACTTTCAAATGGTCCCATTTTTTTAGATATCAGAATCTGACAATTATTTTTTGAAAATATTCCTATTTATAGGCAAACCAAAGCCACAAAAACGGAGATTGCCATAGATGTTTCCGTTCAACAACAAATTAAAAGCGTGTTCAAAACAGTTCAGCTCATCTACAACGATATCACGATGCCGCGTACAGCCCCCTGCTTTGTATATCTGTTGTCGATAGTGGCGAACTTCGTAGTGGTTTGTGCGCAGAGTAACCCCACACTATGGTCTCGGTGTGCCCGCGGCGGGGAGATAGCATACTGTGATGAATGGTATACAGGATCACAGGGGGGGTGAGGGCATCAACGATCGAGAAAGTGGCACTGGGCAGGTAGTTTCCTTATAACTACTATCTAGGCACATTAATATAACAATCATTAGGTTTAGTTATTTGTGTATAAATATATTTTCGGTAATATACCATGTAAAAGTATAATATACATATACATACGCAAACTCACACACACGCACCCCCCCCTACCCCTTA